AGTACTGTAGGTAGTCAGCAATATTTTAAAATGTATACGATGTTTAATTGGGAGCCAATGCAGTGTTGACAGAACCGGGCTAATATGGTCATACTTCCTGGTTCTAGTGAGAACTCTAGCTGCTGCGTTTTGGACCAGCTGTAGTTTGATTATTAAGCGTGCAGGGCAACCACTCATAAGAGCATTGCAATAATCTAGCCTTGATGTCATGAACGCATGAGCGTTTCATTGAAAGCATATGTCGTAATTTAGATATATTTTTAAGATGGAAGAATTACTAGTCATCCAAATTTTTATATCAGCTATGCATTCCGTTAATTTTGTGAATTGGTGCGTTTCGTCAGGGCGCGAAGAATTATAGAGCTGAGTATCATCAGCATAACAGTGAAAACTAATGACATGCTTCCTAATGATATCTCCCAAGGGTAGCATGTACAGAGTGAGCAGCAACGGTCCTAGTACTGAGCCTTGTGGTACGCCATACTGAACTTTTGATCGATAAGACATGTCTTCGATACTGCATGTTGTCGATTTAGATGATTTAACGAGTTTAGACAATTCTTCCTCTCCTATAGCAATGAATGAATGGAATTTTTCCTCAGGGAGACTACAACGCACTGTCTGATGTGATACTGTAGTAGACGGTTGCATAGTTATAATTTTCTCTCTAATATTATCAATCTTGTAAGTAAAGAAATTCATAAAGACATTACTGCTGTGCTGTTTGAAAACGTCCGGTGTTGACGTTTTATTTTTTCGTTAATTTAGCTATTGTTTCGAATAAATACCTTGGGTTGTGTTTGTTTTCTTCTAAGAGTGTTGAAAATAAGCAGATCTAGCAGTTTTTAAGTCTTTCTGAACGCAATCGTGCTCTCTCTCCACGAAATGCGAAACACCTTTTTCATTTTGTTTTCTTCCAGCTACGCTCCATTTTTCCGGCTGCTCTCTTAAGGGCCTGAGTGTGCTTGTTGTACCACGGCGTTGGACTATTTTCTTTAATCTTCGCAATGGAGCAATTGTGTCTAAAGTGCTGGAAAGTCAATCATTTATTTTGCAAGATCGAGTTCTTCTAAGCTATCTGGGATGCTGACGAAATTAAACTGATCAGGAAGATTATTTATAAAGCAATCTTTAGTGGCAGAAGTGATAGTTCTACCATATTTATAACACCGAGTCGGCTTTGCAGCCTTGGCTAAATTAAGTATACATGAGATTAAATAATGATCTGAGATTTCATCGCTCTGCTGCAGAATTTCAGCATCTTTTTCAGAATTTCAGAATCTTTTTCATTATCTACATGAATATTAAAATCACCAACAATTATATCTGCAGCCAGTACCAACTCTGATAGAAAATCAGCTAATTCTTTGACAAAATCTGAATTGTGCCCTGGTGGCCTGTATACAGTAGCCAGCACAAATGTCGAACGGGATTTATCACTTACGCTACATAACGTTACAGAAAGCACCATCACGTCAAATGAATTCTATTTGAAACTAGATTTCTGAGTAATACTGAAGATATTGCTATAAATTACAGCAGCACCTCCCCCTTTTCCTTTTAAACGAGCCTCGTTTTTATAGTAGTAATCTTGCGGGGTGGACTCATTTACAGTAATGTAATTGTCTGGTTTTACCCAAGTTTCTGTCAAATACAGCACATCTAGGGTATGGCCTGACATATCATTAACAAAAAGTGCTTTTGAAGAAAGGGATAGAATATTCAGCAACCCGATCTTTATCATTTGTTCATCTGCATTATATTTGTTTTTAATTTGTTGGACATCAATCAAATTTTTACCCTTAAATGGGTTTGGGAGTTTTTTGTATTTCCTAGTTCGGGGAACAGACACAGTCTATATGATGATATCTAGGTGAAAGATTTATCTGACCTCAGTGACGTGAGACACAGATTGTCGTGTTTGAGTTCTAAGATGTGCCATATTACTAGAGAGAAGAGCAGCACCATCCCAGGAGGGATGAATACCATCTCTTTTCAACAGGTCAGGTCTGCCCCAAAAACTTTTACAATTGTCTATGAATTCTATATTATTTTACTGACACCACTTAGACAGTCAGCCATTTAATGAGCACAGTCTAATAACTATCTCATCACTCCTTCAAACAGGAAGGGGGCCAGAGAAAATTACAGCGAAGTCAAACATCATTAGTACCAACGTGAATAATAATCTTAGAGAATTTACGATTAGCATTAGCCAGCACTTTTAAATTTGCTTTGATGTCAGGCGCTCTGGCTCCCGGCAAACATGTGACTATGGTGGCTGGTGGTCTCTATTTTCACGTTCCGTGTAATAGAATCGTCAATAACTAGGGCACATTCAACAGGATTCTCAGTGGGTGTTTCACTGAGTGGGGAGAACCGGTTTAATGTTGTAATCGGAACAGAAGAGCGATGTTTTGTCCCGCGACTACAGCGTCTCACGTTCACCCAGTTGCCCTTCTGCGCTGGCTCTACAGCCGGAACCGAACAATGCAAAGTTTGGATGCGTCTCTAGTTCTGCAATCTTCTCCGTTAGCCTGACTGTCTCCCTGCATTTATCACATGTAAATCCTATATTCCTGACAGAGAAGGCTGTACTATACATTATGGCTGCACGGTTAATTGCAACGAAACCGCAACGCGATGTGATTTAAAAAAAAAAATAATAATAATTATGCGCAGCTTGTCAGTGCAGTGCGGCTGATCGGTAGTAAATGCTGCTTCATCTGAACGCCAGAGGGCGCTCTCATGCAGACACGCCAAATATGCCCCACCACAGAAGTACTGCAATAACGCACATCATTCCAGGAAATCCCTATTCCAGGACTCTCTGTGGTCACAAAAAATCCCAGGATGTCTTTCGAAAGAGTAGGGGTGTAACCCCGGCATCCTGGCCAAATTTGCCCAGTGGCCTCTGTCCATCATGGCCTCCTAATCATCCCCATATACTAAGTGGCTTCATCACTCTGTCTCCTCTCCACCAATAAGCTGGTGTGTTGTGGGCGTTCTGGCGCAATATGGCTGCCGTCGCATCATCCAGGTGGATGCTGCACATTGGTGGTGGTTGAGGAGATTACCCGCTTCTATGTAAAGCGCTTTGAGTGCCGAGAAAAGCGCTATATAAATGTAATGAATTATTATTATTATTATTATTATTATTGGACATCATCGCTGTAGCTGAATAAACAGAAGATTTAAACACTTTGATTGTTGATTAAACATGACTTATAAATACACGACTGCCTTATTCTGTGTAAGAAGCCACATCATCTAACAGAAGGAACCTCAACTGTCGTTATGAAGTGAGTTTGGAGTAAAGCATGTTATTAATATTGTCTTTTGTTGGACAGGAGGTTCATAAATGATTCTCATGTTTAAAAAGATGTTTGACGTGTGTTGCTTTTTCAAACTCACAGTGCTTTCAGATGGAGCAGCGTTTAAGAGTGTTTACATCAATAACAATCTGCGCATAAAAAACAATCGCAGCCTTTGCGATTTCAAAATCGCGATAAGCCAAATCGGTTTAAAGTGCGATTACATGGAAATTGCGATTAATCGTGCAGCCCTACTATACATGTGATATGAAGTGCAAGTGACAATAGCAGGAGAAGACATTACTCACCGTGTTTGTTGACTGATCCTATACTTACCTCAGTTATTTGATGGATTCGTAAATCCATAATAAATAAATAAAGACCGCAGGCACGGATGGCACGTTAACAGGCTAGCGAGTTACTAGCGTGTTGTTCAGGCTAGCAAAATTACTAGCGTGTTGTCCTAGTTATAACAATTTAGATAGAAGCTAGCGATGTCAGATTAATGTGTGGTAATGTTTGGTGATGAGTAAGATATAATTAGCAATATAAACAACACAGAATGATGGTAAATAAATATTCAAAACAGAAAGCAATACGGAGCTAACAGACGCAAACCACTCAGCAGCGGGCAGACAGTAGCAATCATGTATGTATCAGCATGAAAACTAACACCATGTTTCCTAATTTAGAGGGTGAAAAGCAATGGTCCTAGTAATGAGCCTTGCAGTATTCCATAATGAACTTGTGATCAATATTATACCTCTTCATTTACTGCTACAAATTGGTGACAGTCAGATGAATACGATTTGAACCATGCCAGTGCAAGTCCACTAATGTCAACGTAATTTTTGTCTATTCAGAAGAATGTTGTGGTCGATATTATCAAATGCAGCACTAAGGTCCAGTAACACTAATAGAGAGATGCAGTCTCAGTACTACCTTACAGTCTAAATCATGACTGGAAATCCTTGCCGATACAATTTCTTTCTAAAAAGGAACATAGTTGTGAACATACTCCCTTTTCTAGTATTTTTTGAAAGAAAGGCGAGATTGGAGATCGGTCTGTAGTGAACTAATTATTTAGGATCAAGTTGTGTGGGTTTTTTTTGTTGGGTTTTTTTAATAAGTGGCTTAATAACAGCCAGCTAGAAATGTTTGGGTGCATATGCTTATGACAATGATGAATTAAGAAGAGGATCTATGGCTTCTGGAAGCATCTCTTTCAGTAGCTTAGTCTGTATAGTGTCTAACATACTGTACATGTTGTTGATTTTCATGATTTAACAAGTTTAGACAATTCTTCTTTCCCTATAGCAAATAATAAATGTAATTGTTCCTCAGGGGCTCTTTATAGCACTGTCTGATGCAATACTGTAGCAGATGGTTCCATGGTTACAATTTTCTCTCTTATAGTATCAATCAATCAAAGTAAAGAAATTCATAAAGTCATTACTGGTGTGAAACTATATAGAGAGTATGAGAGATCACAGTCGACATCACTTTTTTAGAGAGATGATACTGTTCGTCTTGAGTGTTTTCTTACACAATTACCTTTGAGTTTCTGTACTCACAACTGTCAAAACCAGGTTCATGTCTGTAATTATATGTGTTTATGGTTGTAAACAAGGTGACCCTTTTGGTGCTCTATTATTTGAAAATTGAATTTTTTTATCTCTCTTTCAGATTCCAGAAGAGCATGATTTGGAGAGTCAGGTTCGTAAGGAGAGGGAGTGGAGATTCTTACGTAACGCTCGTGTACGCCGACAAAGCCAACGCATCACTCAGAAAGGTAAAACTCCAGAATTTGTTTTATACTGACAGCAAAGACTACTTGCATCATCATTCATTTATATATTTAGTTTTGTAACTTGTTATATTACTTGATATTTCACAAAATGTTAAAAATTTAAAAAATGTGTTACACTGCAAAGGCAGCATAAAGCAGCATATATTACTTGAAAATGCATTTAAACAGGCACACAAGGGAATTACTTTTGCTGAAATAATGTTCAACATTAATTGCGGAAATAATCTTATAAAATTATTGTTTTAAATATGGAAATATGAATACAGAAACAATATGAATACAGACTTTAGAAAATCCAAAATACAAATATGAAACTAAAATATATGCTCTTCTAATTTTATGCAGCATTATTGCGTATACACAGAATTTGGATCCACCTCAGAGTAGCCTCAACTTGGCTGTGTAAATCTTTAGGTTACTAAACCCGGGTCTCTGATAACAAGAGTGAGGTATATTGCTAATCGCCTCGAGCGTGACCAATCCTGGAAGCACCAATAAAACCTTGTCTGTCATTTGTCAGACCAATCACTACTGTGGGGCAAGAGTACTGCCTCCCTAATATGCATCACAGCATAACACATAAGTGTGAGGCGAAGCCCAACTCCCGGCCCCACTTAAAATTGCTAAACTGAAACACCCTTAAATAATGCCCATGAGGTAGCCAAAACTCTGGTAGAATGAGCCCTCAGCCCTTCTGGAGGATGAAGACCCATACTATTTTAACCGAATATAATAGCTTCCACTACCAGATGGGACAAGTGTTGAGGTTATATAGGTTTACTCTTATGAGAATCAGCCCATGAGACAAATAACTGATTGCACTCTTTCATTCTGTTCACATAGCAAAACAATATTCGAACAGGACAGAGACAATAATTATGAAAACTTAATCAATAAATAATGTCATTGTCAATCCCCACATGGCAAGCAGAAATCACGGAAAGATAAACAGTAGAAAAGGCTCTCCCCTTATTTAAAAGTTCCTGCAAAAAACATAAAATATCTGCGTGAGAGAGCGTGTTAAATCTGCTCTTTCATTCTGAATCATTTGTTTACCCTCTGAGCCAAACCTGTAGCACTTGAGTTAAAATTCTCACTTTTTTTTTTAGTTTAACCTCTTGGACTTTCTGAGGTATTTGTTCTGCAAATCCAGAATGGGACAGAAAATACCAGGAAATAAGCTATTTCTTCCTCTAGATCCTGAGCTAATATCCTCTCTGCTGTTGACATAACACTGTTGAAAAGTGGTGGTTTTAAAGCAAACTGCAGACAATAACCCTGGCTGATTGTGGATAAAAGGAAAGAAAGTGAGAAGAGAAGTGGCATTAAGAGGCCTCACTGCCTGAAGAACGTTAGATCTTCTGAAAAAGACTGCTCAGTGCGTCCTGGCAGTGAAGCTAAGGCAGATGAAACCATGTTTTTTTTAAACACATGGGGGCCGATGGAATGAGCTGTTAAATGACCGGGGCATATGACGGCAGTCTTTTACTGTCATACAAATCTCTGTCCATTCCCTGGCCCACCGGCTGTGACGGCCAAAAGACGGAAAAATTGAGAGTTTTTCCGCTACCCTCCGGCACATTTCAAGTTGGTCAAGCTCCACCTGAACAGGACTCTTTGTTCTTTCCCCCTTGCTCTGCTGCTTACAGAACTAGCAGTCACCATAAAATAACAGTTAGAAAGAATTATCCATAGCATGTCGAATATCTAGGTATCCCTAGCACAAATAATATTCACAGTGACAGTTAATATAACCACTATCAAAAACGGCAGCATTTGTCGAAGTACTTTGGTGGCTTGTCTAATAACAGTTAAGCATCTTCTGAAAAACATGCTGAAGGATAGCTTCCAAAGATCTTCATGGGGAAGAGAATGAGGTAGGGAGGTTATGCAGTGGTATATATTAGGGAGGCAGGACTCCTGCATCACTGTCATGATTGGTCTGTCGACTTACGGACATGGTGTTATTGGTCCTTCCAGGATTGGTCATGCCCGAAGCGATTCTCTTAGATACCGAATAAATGTTTGAAAGACAACCTGAAAGCTCAAACTTCCAGTTGCTAATGTCATTTGACTTACGTCTATAGTAAACCTCTAGAAGAGATGCCCTGACTACATTAGATGCATCTGGGTAATAATGATGTGGAATTCACAAGTGGAACTGGGTGAACAGTTGTATGATGTAGTTTTTCTGTGTGAAATCCTCAAGTTTAAAAGAAAGCAATGTGCTTGGCTCCCTGTCTGAAGTCAGCAGAGTCTCAAACTGAATAGCTAATGTGCTTACGTCAATGCCGGAACACACGCACAAGTAAGCAGGACTGATTGCGTCAGAGCAGAGGATCCGGCTCACGCTCGTATGTCTTTCTCCTTTCATCACACTCTCTGTCATCCTCCCCTCTGAAACCAAGAGTGGGGCTGCCCTCATTCAGTCTAGCTAGAGGAACTGAAAGAAATCCTCAATTCCCTCTGAGTTTCCTTCATGCATATTTTTTTTTCTAATCTGTAAGTTTAGTTTCACACTGTAGTGTAACCCTTATTCACTTTCCTCAGAAACCAAGAGACTGCTTTGGTCATTAGTAAAGCTCAACTTAATAAAAATGTTCTAACTGATCAAAATTCTAACCCATCCCTCTCGGTTTTAGGAGTGACAAGGTTAGATGATCAGATCTTCATTAATAGAAACCCTGGAGTGCCATCAGTGGTGAAGTTTCATCCATTTAACCCCTGCATTGCTGTAGCTGACAAAGACTCAATCTGGTGAGTGACTGGAATTGTTCAAATAATGCCACTTGTGAATGAGGGCATGATGAGTATCGATGCTTTTCATAGCATTGCATATAGTAAAGTCACCTTTATTTATTGAATGCATGTGTGTGTGTAGTCTTTCTTAACAAAGTGACCTTGCCAATTGTCTTGCATGCATAATAGAGCGTCTTTAGTTGTTTCCGCAGATCCGTGTGAACAGGAATCATTTTGATATAACGTTTTCATCTGTACAGAGGAAAAAACTTTTGTCGTGTCTATGAGCCCTTCGTAGGGGATAGTGTAGTTGACACGGTCTCTGCTGACACTTCAGAGCTGCGTTGTGGTCGTGTTTAGGTCCTTCATCTGATCTGGATACAGCCCGAATCTGGCTGACTACACTAAACCTCGGAATAAACAGAGAGACTAATATTAGCGTAGATGCCATTCTTCTTATGATGTAACAAGTACAATAGGAGTTATGGGAAGTGTTCCCGGTTCCTGGTAACCTAATTTATGCAGCCTAATAATCATTTCACATGATTTGAATTATAGAAATTGATAATGTGTTATGTGTATGCCAGGTTAAAGAGATGTGTTTTTAGTCTAGGCAAGGCATTTAAACTGACAGAGTTTAGATGCTAAATTGGCCAGAGGAGAACTGGCCCCCGACTGAGCCTGGTTTCTCCCAAGGTTTTTTTTTAGTTGGGGACATTTAATATTCAACAATATTATTGATCTGCCTTACTTCAGGTGGACAATGACGCAATTTTCTTCTAGAAACAAACTACTTGTATTATTTTCATGATATCACTGTGAAGCTGCTTTGATACAATCTGTATTGTAAAAAGCGCTATATAAATAAAAGTGACTTGACTTGACTTAAATAGGAAATGGATCTACCGCCAGCAGTTGATTTCGATATTCTAGGTATTATCAACACTGGCCAGAATTTTGAGATTGCAATAGATGTGAAGGACTATAATGTGTTAAGAGCTTGCTCAAGTACTGGGGAGCTAAACCATTTAATACTTTGTAAGTATTAGCAAGATTCTAAAATGTCTACGATGTTTAATAGGGAGCCAATGCAGTGTTGACAGAACCAAGCTAATATGGTCATATTTCCTTCTAGTAAGAACTCTAGCTGCCACGTTTTGGAATAGCTGGAGTTTGTGTATTAAGTGTGCAGGGCAACCACCAAGTAGACATGAATGCATTAATTAATTTTTCCGCATTTATCATTGAGAGCATATGTTGTAGTTTAGATATATTTTTAAGATGGAAGAATGCTAGAAATGTGGCTTTCAAATGAAAGATTGGTATCAAAGAGCACATCCAGGTTCCTAACTGATGACGAAGACTTGACAGAACATCCGTCAAGTATACTCCAAACTGAACTCCTCCTCCTCGCAGATACCATTTCTTTCTAAAAAGGAACATAGTTGTGAGGATGCTGCCTTTTCTAGTATCTTTGACAGAAAATGTAGATTTATCTGTAATCATATAATTTATGATAAGCGCTTTTGAATAAATGGATCGTATATTCAGCAACCCAAGCTTTATCATTTGTTCATCTGTATTATATCTGTTTTTTATTTGTTGAACATTAATTAAATTTTTTCCCTTAAATGGGTTTGGGATTGCATTTCCTAGTTCGGAGAACAGACACAGTCTCTATATGATGATATCTAGGTGAAAGAGTCTCTATGTGATGGGATTTATCTGACTTCTGTGACGTGAGACAGCTGGCAGACGGTCGGTTTAGTCAGTCTGTCTGCTTCTTGACCTGAGCCCCAGTTAGTCAAGGTTCAGCTCTAATATGTGTCATATTACTAGAGAGAAGAGCGGCACCACCCCAGGAGGTATGAATACCATCTCTTTTCAACAGGTCAGGTCTGCCCCAAAAACTTTTCCAATTGTCAATGAACCCTATATTATATGACAAATATATGAGATACTGTTTGTAGATGAGATAATGTTTGTGCATTTGTTGTCACAGAAACATAAACTGGTTTTCCACCAAATTCGAAGCTTGAGGGTTTAACTCTTGCAAGTGAATAAAAAGAAATCAAGACAGCACTGTAATTTTACTACTGTAGTGCAAGTAAGGAATAATAGCTTGTTTTCATATGACGTCACGCCACTGCGTTGCCATGGCGCGAAATGCAAATGGAGGGCAGGAAGTGATTTGCTGTATTTAGAAAGCACTATAACAAACTCAAAATGCCTATGTTTTGCGTCGTTTATGGTTACTTAAATCGATCAAACCACGAGGAGTTTTTATCGTGTACCAAAAGTTGTTGTTCATAAGGGGGGAAATGCAAGAAATTGACCGAAAAACTCCGGGAAAACGGCTTGCAAACCTACGTCTGCGGTCGGGAGGAACCGAATGGGAAAATGCCCGTGTGTGCCGTGATCACTTCGTCAAAGGTGAGTTTATACAACTTAAGTGGCTATGTTTGTGTAATGTGTAAGTTAACGTGTAACGTTTACGAACTTTGTAAAGTCAAAGTATGTCTGTAAGACGAGGTAGTTGCTGATATCTACCGCCTCGATGGCTGGAAATCTTTCAATTCAGTTGAAAATCGCTCCTCTTAATAACGTAAGGATCACGTCCAACATGTTTGATTTTTTGTTTATATCTTTCTCTTGTAAAATAGTGTGAAAAGTAGTACAGTACGGACTTTCCTCCATCTCGTCCATTGCGCTCTTCACTCCCTGCCCTCCATCTGAATTTCGCGCGTCATCATAATCACGTGACTGAAACCCAGCTATTGATGACGAAGGGGCGTTGATTATTGGAAAAATAATCCACACCTGAGGTGATAATGCGGCCACGACACGGATTATTATTAAAAATAAGAAAATTATGTTTCAATAATTCGTCAGCCCGTTACCACACCTCAAAACATTGTTCGTGTGTAGGACTAACTTCTTACAGTATCAATCCTCCGTTGCTAATTCCAAAATGTCATTTTAGAGCTAGTAATGGAGGCTTGATCCATTGATAGCAGACTAATGCAGTTATTAGAGAGAGAGAGGGAGAGTTTTCAAGCATGTGTGACTTACCTGAGTCTGTGCGTCTCTCAACAGTGTTCGGCACCAGCGTCTCTCTTCTAATAGTGAAATTGTAAGTTTATCTGCTCCAAGGACCGTGCCATTATTTCCTCGCTAGTAAGAAATGGCATGTAGCTTTTAAGTTGTTAAACTATTTACTGATAAAATTGTCAGAGCAGCGCTGACAACACGATTCTGTGCGAGTGTGTCCAGAATATATACACACACGATATGTGTGTGCGTTTTAGTGGGTGAGAGAGCAGGAGAAAGAGAGTAGGCATATATGCTGTCCGTACATAAAAAAAAACTGCTTGGTCAGTGTCATTGTGGGTTTTGGTTCTTTTGCTGTTATGGTCTGTGAGGACCTTTGAAATAACTGAAATCATTTGGTGAATGATATGGAACTATAATGCGGTCAAGACCTGCCTGGAAATATTTTAGCCGTGTTCTATTGAATTCTATCCAATTCTATTGAAACTAATTCAGTGATTTATTTGTCATCACTCAGAAATGGTCAGGGCGTCTCTGTTACATGCTTAAAAATCTATTTGCAAAAAACAATATATATATATATATATATATATATATATATATATATATATACTCTGTGTGTGTGTGTGTGTATATATATATATATATATATATATATATATATATATATACACTGCCGTTTAAAAGTTTGGGATAGGTAAGATTTTTAATGTTTTTAATAAAAAGTATCTTGTGATAATTCATTACATTTATATAGCGCTTTTCTAGGCACTCAAAGCGCTTCACATGGAAGGGGGGAATCTCCTCAACCACCACCAATGTGCAGCATCCACTTGGATGATGCGACGGCAGCCATATTGCGCCAGAACGCTCACCACACACCAGCTTACTGGTGGAGAGGAGACAGAGTGATGAAGCCAATCAGTGTATATATATATATAGGGATGATTAGGAGGCCACGATGGACAGAGGCCACTGGGCAAATTTGGCCAGGATGCCGGGGTTACACCCCTACTCTTTCGAAAGACATCCTGGGATTTTTAATGACCACAGAGAGTCAGGACCTCGGTTTAACGTCTCATCCGAAGGACGGACGTGCTCACAAGGCTGCATTTATTTGATTAAAAATACAATAAAAAACAGTAATATTGTTAAATATTATGACAATATAAAATAACTATTTTCTATTTGAAATTTAAATTCAAATGTTAAATATAATTTATTCCAGTGATCCAAAGCTGAATTTTCAGCATCATTATTCCAGTCTTCAGTGTCACATGATCCTTCAGAAATCATTCTTATGCTAATGTGATGCTCAAAAAACATTAATTATTATTATCAATCTTGAAATCAGTTGTGTTGGATTCTTTGCAACTATTTTTAATAATCTGGATAGTTACATTTTGTAATGAGATACATTATATATTATGTATATTTTGTAACACGTAATGTTATCTGTTCATTAGAGACATGTATTTGGCATGTTCGTGTTTGACATGTCCGTGCTGATAATTGTATTGCTGAACTCAAGTTAGCTGTGCAAAGAGAAGCATAGTGAATTGTATTTAAATTGTGTTCTCTGTGTGTGTGCAGTTTTTGGGACTGGGAGAAAGGCGAGAGGTTGGATTATTTCTACAATGGGAACCCACGGTACACACATATCACATCCATGGAGTATCTTAATGGGCATGACTGCTCTCTCCTCCTCACTGCTACTGGTCTGTTCACCTATCAATCATGTTGACACAGACTTTGAATGGTTCTCATCTTTGGCAGTTTCTGTGCTGACTTTCAACATGCCACTTTTTTGCAGATGACGGAGCATTGCGTATTTGGAAGAACTTTGCTGACCAGAGAAATCCAGAGATGGTCACAGCATGGCAGGGACTATCCGACATGCTGCCCACCACACGAGGTTTGCTTTCACATTCACAAACACTGTGCAGATACCACTCTTCTCCTGTCATCTGAGTTTCTTTTCCCCATCTACCTTCCGCTTGGCCAGTGTTTGAAAAAATCTGTCGGTATTTACAGTCTTCCTGCATGATGCGGGAGTGGGACTGTAGAGATGCCCATGGGTGCTCTCTCTGGTATGAAAGCAGAATATTAGTCATTGTATTAGTTTTGTTGGTTTATTTCAAATGTCCTCAGTTTGCTGTTGTGTAGGAAAAATGGCCAGTTATGTCTATTTTACAATTGTTTGTGTTGGACAACATTTGTATGATTGTCTTTATTGTCCTCACCAGAACCTTAGCTATTTTTGGGATATACATATACTTTACATTAAACGTTAAGCTACAAAGGTGGCTAAGCTTACTTTTGTTCAATATATATATTTTATATTATATATATTTATATTAGGATTGCTTCTAACTTTTCTGTGATTTATATTAGCTATATTCTCTTATTTTTTACTGTATGTGCTGACAATCTTATGATAACGTTTTAAACATTCAGACCATTGCCAAATAATTATTGTTCTGTCTGTTGAAGAAGTTAAGCCTCCCAATATTAACTTACAAATCTGACAAGCCTAAATGGTTTCACTTTATTTTGTTAGTCCCTTTAACACATTCTGTTGACTAAGTAATGTTGCATCTACATGTCTACTAACTCTTATTAGAGTGTTAGTCGGGTATTAGTAGACTGGTAAGGTTAGAGTAAGAATAAGTTGACCTGTAGTTGCAAAGTTGCTTATAGTCAGTAGAATGTCTGTTGGAGGATCATCACAATAATTTGTTGGCAGATATTAACCAGACAGTCTACTAATACTTTAATGAGAGTTAGGTGACACGTAGGTGCAACGCTACTAATTGTCAACAGGATGTTGAAACGGGACCATCAAAAATAAAGTGTTACCGACTAAACAAAATAATATTATCGTCCCAGTGCCTTCTCATTATTCCAGTGAATAATACCTAGATGAAGTCCTAGGTGTCAAATCTCATTTCAAGCTCTTACAAATGTTCAAATTTGGTTCTGTCACTATAACAAATGAAGTTTGTCTGTTTGAAATGGCATACTAATGTGTACTAGTCATGCTATTTCTATAATATGCTGTCTCCATATTGTGTATACTGCACAATGTGCAAATTTAATTTGAATTTCAAATTACTGGATCCCATTCTATCTTTGAGTCATTATGTGATTGGACAACCAAAAGACATATTTACACAAAACTGGATTAAAATTGCACAAATGAGGCTTTTACATATTCTGTATGGTTTCACATACCATTTCAGGTATATGCTGTGAAGTAAACAGTGTTCCATAGCAAACACAGCATTGGCGAAATGCAAGATTATCAATGAAAGATTTTGGTCTCTTCCTCATAAAGATATCATACACCTGATCTCAGAAATGTCATTTAAACTGGTTTCGAGGACCACTGAGCCGGGTCAAAACTCCATCAGTACAGAAAATAGAGGTAAATCCTAAAGTGTCCTTATGACTGACTGCTAGCCACATTTAAAATTCATGAATACAATCCTGCATGAAAGCTTGTCTTATATGAATCCATGCTGGCACTTTTACCTCAATTATAAAATGAAATGGTTTGCTTCTAAGTATGAAGCTGAAACAAATCAGCAGCTTAAATAGAAATCATAAACATTAGTGTCCTCCATGACCAGTTGCTGTAGCCCTTATTCTTAGTGCTGTTCCTCATTCCTGTTTTCCCTGCATATAGTAACAGTTTCTTAGACACTCTTTTGCTTTCCTTTATTTTCTTTATTAATAAAAAATTATCACTGTATTTCCACAGCAAAATCTGTGTTTACTTTTCCTCTGTAATGTCTGTAAATACATTTGCTAGCATCCTCTGTCATTGGAAAGGAGGAACATGGTATCTGTCAGCAATAAGAGTGTTAGTTCACCCAAAAATCTCTTACTAACCCTGTCATCCCAAACCCCTATTAACTACTAGTAGGCCTACTATCTTCTGTGGACCATAAAAGTTTTTTCTTTTAAATGTTTATGCAGCTCTTTCCAATACATTGAAAGCATAGTGACTTCACACAAATAAAGCACTATAAATATTTAGGCTCATATAAGATATATATCTGAGTCTTTTGAGGCTTTCAACTTTCTGCTTTTCTATCCAGACACAATGCAACAAGCAGCACACTAAAAAGGTATCTCTTCCATGAGTTTTAACTGGTCTCTGATCATATATTGTCACATTTCCATTTCTGCAGGAAGCCGCACACTCTCGAAACCACGTATTAAACGTGGCTTTGGATGTGAACGTTTATAATTAGATGTTAAATAGCAAATCTCTCAAATTCTTCAAGGAAAATCTTGAAAAGTATAGTGTCTGAAGCATTACAGAATGAAAATAAAAGATTTGTGTTTTTACGCTCTACATCTGCAGCGTATTGCGAGTGTGAAGGTGGCCAAAAAGAGAGAAACTATTCTGATTGGCTGTGTTTTTCAAATCAAATCACCTATTCAGATTTGACCCAAATTTAAAAAACATTCTAAAACAATATTTATCTAGTAAGAGGTGTGCGCTGCCGCATTCGTGTATGCTGTTGAAGAGTGCACGCTACAAGCATAGTATAACGGCTGACAGGGCAGGAAAGTTTGTTTTTCTGAGGTAAGAGACTTTGAAAAGAACGAATAATGACACTGACGTATAGCCTGACAACATCTCATCTGACCGCGGATACTGAATCTGGGCAACACGTTTTTCTCAGGCAGTCTTTACTTAAACTGCGTCTGACAGAATTGTCAACAGCTTTCATGCGCGTCTTTCAAAATCAGTCTTGCATCAGAAAAACAGTATTACGTTTGTTGTCGTTTCTTTGACTGCACACTACGCGACCCTCTCAAAATGGTCTTGTGACCCACCAGTTGAGAAACACTGCTCTAAGAGTCCCTGGTCCCTGCCCCCAAAAAGTTTGAGAACCCCTGCTAAAGTATACTATATTATATACTAGATTATAGTGCACAAGTTGTATGGACGACTTTTAAATCTGTTGAGTTTAAATGTATACTACATGGTAGACTTGTAGTCGAGACCGCCTAAACCGAGACCAAGACACTACCAAGACCAGATGGTATCGAGACCAAGACAAGACAAAGACCAAGACCAAGACAGACCAAGTCGAGACCAAGACCAAGTCGAGACTAAGACCGAGACCAAGTCGAGACCGGAGGGGAAAAAAACATTAGTGTTGAAGCTAAGCAATAACTTGTCAAATGTTGTTTTGCATTTGCCTGCCTATCTCTGCTGATTTCGAAGTCTCCAAATGAACCATTCTGCAACTTTTAAATACATAATTATATTTTTAAAAACGAAATTATAGGCTTAAGTGCAGGATCCGAAAGTTGGTCATTTTTGTCGCTATGGTTACACACACACACACACACACACACACACACACACCGTTGGCGGTGCGCTCAAAGTCATCTGTCAGTTGTGCAGTTACCCAAAATCTCCTGAATGAAGGTAAAACCCATCATGTCACTGATATGTGTTTTACTAAATATTAATATATCAAAAACTGTACATGATATGTGTTTTTTAAATCAAGTGATCAAAGTGCTCGTTGCCGCTGCGATCAGTGGCGCGGATACAGTGTTTTCTCGCGTGGCTCGCGCGCACCGCACTGTCTTCACTCGGACGCGCGCTTCAATACGTTGCGGATATCATCGTGGATATTGTAGTATTGTATTGCTCAATCCCCTGACCACTATGTCGGTCTGAGACAGCGAGACCTAGACAAGACCGGGAGGTCCGAGACCAAGACAAGACCGAGACCAAAGACCGTCAAGGCCGTGACAAGACCGAGACCACGTAAAAGTGGTCTCGAGACCGGTCTCGAGACCAAGACCGGTCTCGAGACATACATCACTACTACATGGTAACTGTAACACTTCGACATTTCTTCTTTTGTTGTTAAAGAAGTTTAGGTTTAGAGAAACATGAGGGGTTAGTAAATGATAATGTTTATTTTTGGGTAAACTGAACCTTTATTACAATACCGTTTTGACAAAGATCTCCCTGTGTTTAACATAACTATTGCTGTTGGCCAGTAGTTCTCTTTCATAGGTTTACTCATCGATGTGTAGCAATGATGCAATGGAACGTCTGAACCCGTATAGAATCAAGCCAATTTATTGTCTTATGGCGCAGGCGCCGCCTCAGCAGCACTACGTTATTCACTCTTGATATAGTTAACTCACCATCTGCTCCTCAGATTTTCTTTTTCAGAAGTGGTTTATCTGGCCCGTGCTGGTTAAGCTATTTCGTTGGATATTCTCATTTTTGTGCTTCAGCAACCGCATTTAGTGGAACGTCCTTTCTTCTCCTCTCGGTGAAGCACAATTGATCTTCGTCGTTGCCAGCCGCTGTGCTCTCGCTTCATTGCAAGCGAAAACCTGCACGGTAAGTGTGTGAAATGCCTCGGCCTGTCACATGCACACAAGGCTATTTATGCCGTTTCGGACTGCAAGTTTCTCTTGCTTGCTTTGATTAGGATTCATCCGCTCTCCCCTGTAACTATGTGGCAAATGAAGTGACTAAGGCCCTTCATGAATCCAAGGACTGGGGATCAGATGTCGAGCTCGAGTCTATGGAGAGCAAGCAGGCTGCTTCATCTGTGGAATTTCTCCACAATTATTTATGCCCCAGTCCAGAGGCACACAGAGGATTCAGAGGATTTTGGGTCCGCTGCCGACGATTCTCTCTCAATGCAGGCCCGCTTGGCCTATGCTCTAGTTTCCAGTCTCCATGCGTGCTTTGCCCGTTTCAGGCTCGGCCATCATGTCACGGTGAGCACGTCGCAGACTTCTGGGTCTCATGGCAGCAACCTCTCCTGTGCGACCTTTGGGTCTGGAACACATGAGGCCGTTCCTGTGGTGGATGAAACTCAGGCGCATTCGCTCCCATGGCCAGTTTTCCATCGGCTGAGAGTATCGCGCATTTGCCTTTGTGCTCTCTGGAGGTGGAAAGACCCTCTCTTTTTGTTACAAGGGGTCAAGATGGGTGTGGTCTGAGCAGAGTGGCTTGCACGGTGGGGGTGGTTCTGTTGTCTCAACTCCAGGGCAGGATTTGGCAACCTCAACCCGAGATTTGGAAGCTATGGGTGTGGCCGATCAGGGGCGATTGCTAATGGCTTCTGGTCTTCCCGCTGATGTTCGGGAGACCATTGATAACGCTTGTGTGCCTTCTACTAGATGGCTGTATTTTTCCAAGTGGAAGGTCTTTCATGTCTTGGTGTACGGCATGTGCAGTAGATCCAGCCTTGCACGGAGTTTCCCCTGGGTCTTGTGAAGGTGTTTCTGTGACCCAGGCCTCGTTATGTAACCAAAGTTTTGCCCACGTCATTCTGCTCTCAAGTAGTCGTGCTTCATTCTTTCTGTCCCACCTCCCTTTGCCTCCACGGAGGAGGAGAGGCTTAATTTACTTTGCCCTGTTCGGGCTTTAAAGGTGAATGTGGACCGCTCTAGCCAGTGGCACAAGTCGTCTCAGTTGTGTATGTGCTTTGGGGCCAGCCGCAGAGGGCTTGCCACCTCTAAGCACAGCACCTCTCATTGGGTGAGAGACGTGATTTCTTTGGCTTATGAGGTGCGGAAGCTCCCTTTACCTCTGGTTATTAGGGCTCATTCTACTTGGAGTCTCGCGTCTTCCCAAGCTCTTTTAAGAGGAGTCCCTTTGGAGGACACTTTTATCAAGTTTTATAACCTGGATTTGGATGTGGTCCCTAGTTCCCAGGTTCTTTCTGCATGAAGCGGTCGCCTTGGTCCTGGTTGAGTTTGGTCTGGTTCCAAAAAAAAAGAAAAAAAAAGAAAAGTTATTTGGGCCAGATCTGGCAGCGCTTAGCTTGGTGTGTGTGGTATATTGTTCCCATTGCATCATTGCTACGCAGTGTTGAGTGAACCTATGAAAGAGAAAGTCTCGGGTTACTTGCGTAACCCATGTTCTCTGAATAGGGAAGAAGATGCTGCATTCGCTGCCAAGCTCCTCTCGCTGCTGAGGGGGGCTTCTTCGGTAGAAAATCTGAGCAGCAGATGGCGCGTTCACTATATCAAGAGTGAGTGACGTAGTGCTGCTGAGGCGCGCCCGCGCCATCAGCCAATAAATTGGAGTGATTCCATGGGAGTTCAGACAATCAGCACCGCCCGAAGATCGTTCCCATTGCATCATCGCTACGCAGCATCTCGTTCCCTATTCAGAGAACATGGGCTATGCAAGTAACCTAAGCCGTTTTATTGCATATATTCTTTTACTCTTTGACCTCTAATTTTTCTATTATGAAAAATACACTCAAGATTCTCAGCCTGTGAATGTTTATTTCCCAACTGAAATGAATCTAGAGAATAACAAAAAAATAAAAATAAAATAAAATAACTCAGTAAATGATTCTTTCACAATGATAAAAACCTTAATGTCCTCCAGACTGAATGGCCGGACATCTCAGTCACGTACATCAGAACACAAAGAAATGCTTGAGCCGCTGTCTTTCCTAGAGCTCCTTCACATCTGTGCTTCTTTAAGATGGATGAGCAAAGTTTTGACTCTGGGAGCAAATATCTCCCTTGCTGTTCAGTCTCCCAGTGAGAAAACCTGATTTACTTGGCAGATGTCGTGCTGGGAAACCACAGCCTTTTCTCCCTCCCTTTCCTGCAGTGTGTGTCTGTGAGTGTAGATAAGGTATACGGGTGAATTAAATTCAGGTTGAATATGGTTGGGAATCCTCTCTCTCTCTCTCTCTCTCTCTCTCTCTCTCTCTCTCTCTCTCTCTCTCTCTCTCTCGCGCTCTCTCTCTCGCTCTCTCTCTCTCTCTCTCTCTCTCTCTCTCTCTCTCTCTCTGTGTGTGTGTGTGCATTCACCAATAGAAAAGTGAATGCGAGAGCCTGTTTCCATGTAAAAGTGTGTGACAAGGCTCAGAACCCTTATACCCTTGCATACCACCTCTAAATTCACTCTTTGGTGATGTAATGCCACATAGACTGTTGGTAGTCCAAGTGTGCATCGAGAACGCATAATGGTCACAAAGGAGGCATTCTCAAGCACTGAAGCCTAAATTGAAAGACAGGACAACCCTACAGTTGTGTGGATTTTACTGACATATGTGCACAAAGGCAATTATAAGACCACAAGTGCGCATGAAGTGCACCATTTGGGTTAGGGCCACAGATCACATCCTGGTGTGTGTTTGATAACACTGTGCTGTCCTCTGGCTGATATACTGACCGGGCCTCCTGATCTCCTTCCTGTGTTCTTCCTCTCTCTTCCTCTTCTCCTCACAGGTTTGGCCCGACGGGTCTCAATCTATCTTGACAGAAGTAAGCAGGGAGGTGAGTGCTTCTCTCTCTTTTTTCCTTCTCCTGTTTGGTGTTTGCATATGTGAGATTCAGCCACTAATGTTTTTCCATTTCCAGTTATAGCCTAACATTTTTCTCTACATCTATCCGATTGGCTCTTTTTCTTTCTTCAATTCTGAATGGTGGAAGTCAAATCTGTCCAGTATTTAAGTGGAAAATTTGTTTGTGTTTTTTTTATTTCTTTTTTTTAGCTCTTAGCTCAAATTAACAAACACACAAGGGATGTGGAATCTGTAGGAATTTACAAATGATGGGCATTTTTGTTGAAACGTGGATATTGTGTGAGCTTTCTCATTGCTCTTGTTTATTATAACACGCATATGAAGAAAGGCAATAAAATATTATGTAACCTTTTAATTTTAGTAATATTACCTGAGTAATATCACCATCAGCATAAGTGTGTCTGGGCGACTAAATAATGTACATCATTAGCCATTTACATATATTTTCTTCTTACATACATTTATTATTTATAATATGTATATTTTAATACATTTGCATAAGAGCAAGATGTATAAATGTTTGCATAAAATATAAACAAGTACAAAATGTTGACTATGAATGTGCATTATAAAATATATGAATATAAGAATAAAATGTAAGAATGTGTGCGCTATAAAATATGGGATCATGATATATATAACAATATATCAGTCTGGCGAGTAAACAAAAAAATTTACTAGCCAATGGCGATTCTATTGATAAGGTGTGCCTTGGAGTATTAATCGTACTTGAATCAGACCGATGTGTGTGCATGTGTGTATTGTGCTACTGGATGAAAAGGTTAGGTTATATATTCCAGTGTTATGCTTAACTGAATGAGCTTGCTTCACTGATATGATAATCAAAAAAAGACGTTTGTGCATAGCGCACAAATGTCTTTTTTTGCGTATCATATCAGTTAAGCTGTTTGAAAGTTCATATTACTTAATTAGGTGCAAGCTCATTCAGTTAAGCATAACACTGGAATTTCCGACCAGTGAAGACAAACCAAACTCATGATGAATGTGCTTCAAAGTTTTTTTTTATTCCTGATGTGAATTTCTCCTTTGGCTTCTCCACTTATATCTCAGCAGTGTTTGAGGGATGAGTGTGAGGAGGTTTTTCTCTTCCCCAAGATTGGATTTTTGATAGACAGCAGAAGTTTTGAAAGTAGCGCAGCAGTGCTTAAATTTCAGCCTCACAGCGTGTCCTGATCCACATAACTTTTGGCTGTGTGTTTAGGACACTCATAAGGGTGTTCTCTGCTCTAGTGATTGAACAGCATGAGAGAATGACAGACAGACAGTCAGAACTGAACCAGGGCTCCAGAACAGCCAGGACAAAATGCCCCTCTCACCATTCAGAAGGTGATGTCAGCATGAAAGCTGAAGCTGAAGCTGTGACCTGACCAGTACTTTCAAATTTTAAGACAGAACCCAACCTGAACCTGTAATCTCTCATTCTCAGTCTATATCCTAATCAAGTGAGTTGAGCCAGACACATGGATTCTCAACGCTCTGACTAAAATCTAAGAGAGTGTGTGTGTGCACACAATGAGTTGTTTATAAAAAATAAACCCTACTCAAGCCCGTAGTTATTCAACTTGTAGCAACAAGTAAAATATTTTCTGTTTGTTTGTGTGGACACTTTCCGATTAATTTGCCGCTATAGGTAAATAACTGGAAGAATAACAAATTGCTGTAAATAGTAAAATAATTTGCGCTTTAAACCAGTGTGTTTATGATTACAATAATAAATTAAAATAATATGATGACAAGTAAGAGTTTACAATATCAAGCAGCATAATGGACTTTTTTTAAATGAAAGTGGATGAGACCGGAAGCCTCGACACAATCAAGTTACAATGGCCACGCCCGCTCTTACTTTAAGAATAATGTGAACAGACGTGTGGACGCCCAGCTTGTAATTAGCAGGCTTGGCTATTCCAGTAAATACAAATCTACTTGCGCTACTGCATGCAGTGACATTCTAGACAATAGAGAGTATGCATTGACATCACTTTCCCGCCAGGTTTTCCCACTTACAAAGCATGTAGAAGTCTGTAATTTTTATCATAGGGTACTCTTCAACTGTGAGTGACGGAATCTAAAACAAAAATCCAGAAAATGACATTGTATGATTTTTAAGTAATTCATTTGCATTTTATTGCATTACATAAGTATTTGATACATCAGAAAAGCAGACCTTAATATTTGGTACAGAAACCTTTGTTTGCAATTACAGAGATCATGCCTAGTTCTTGACCAGGTTTGCACACAGTGCAGCAGGGATTTTGGCCCACTCCTCCATACAGACCTTCTCCAGATCCTTCAGGTTTCGGGACTTTCAGCTCCCTCGAAAGATTTTCTATTGGGTTCAAGTCTGGAGACTGGCCAGGCCACTCCAGGACCTTGAGATGCTTCTACACTCCTTAGTTGCCCTGGCTGTGTGTTTCGGGCCATCTTCCCATCTAACCCATCTTCAATGCTCTTACTGAGGGAAGGAGGTTGTTGGCCAAGATCTCACGATACATGGCCCCATCCATCCTCCCCTCAATACGGTGCAGTCGTCCTGTCCCCTTTGCAGAAAAGCATCCCAAAGAATGATGTTTCCAGCTCCATGCTTCACGGTTGGGATGGTGTTCTTGGGGTTGTACTCATCCTTCTTCTTCCTCCAAACACGGCGAGTGGAGTTTAGACCAAAAAGCTCTATTTTTGTCTCATCAGACCACATGACCTTCTCCCATTCCTCCTCTGGATCATCCAGATGGTCATTGGCAAACTTCAGACGTGCCTGGACATGCGCTGGCTTGAGCAGGGGGACCTTGCGTGCGCTGCAGGATTTTAATCCATGACGGTGTAGTGTGTTACTAATGGTTTTCTTTGAGACTGTGGTCCCAGCTCTCTTCAGGTCATTGACCAGGTCCTGCCGTGTAGTTCTGGGCTGATCCCTCACCTTCCTCATGATCATTGATGCCCCGCGAGGTGAGATCTTGCATGCTTCCCCAGCGGTGGCAGCTAATGTGACTTTATCACATCACCTTCCCCCTCTCCTAGCCGCGTACTGGCCGGAAACCTGGACAGGTAGTCGGCTACCACGTTGAGTCTGCCCGGTCTGTGCCGTATCTTGAAGCAGTACGGCTGCAGGGCGAGGTACCACCGTGTGACCCTAGCATTGTGGTCCTTCATGGACTGAATCCAGGTTAGGGCCTGGTGGTCGGTTTCTAGATCGAACTCTCGACCAAGGAGGTAGTAACGCAAGCTGTCCAGGGACCACTTGATGGCGAGACCTTCCTTCTCGACCGCCGAATATCTTGTTTCCCTGGGCAGTAGCTTACGGCTGAGGTAAACAACTGGTCTCTCTTCTCCAGCGCTTCCCTGGGCAAGGACCGCACCAATCCCCGTTGCGGATGCGTCTACTTGCACCAGGAACCTCTGAGAAAAGTCTGGACTCTGCAGGACTGGGCTGGAGCACATCTTGTCTTTCAATGTAGTGAAAGCAGTCTCGCAGTCATCGGTCCATGGAATGGGGTTCTTCACCGGTTTTGACAACAGGTTGGTCAGGGGGACCGCAATGGAGGAAAAGTTTGGTACAAATCTCCTGTACCAGCCCACCAGTCCTAGGAATGACCTCACTTCTTTCTTGGTCTTTGGTTGTGGGCTCCTTCGGATTGCCTCCACCTTGTCAATCTGTGGTCTCAGTTGTCCGTTGCCCATGTGATACCCCAGGTAGTTTGCCTCTTGTTTTGCCCACTCGCATTTTGAGACGTTTAATGTCAATCCTGCTTCCTCTATCCTTCTTAGGGTTTGTTGGAGGTGTTGAAGATGCTCTGCCCAAGAGTTGCTATGGATTACCACGTCATCCAGGTACGCCGCAGACCAGTCTTCACAGTCTTGGAGGACTCGGTCCATCAACCTCTGGAATGTGGCTGGTGCCCCGTGCAGCCCAAAAGTAAGGACTGTGAATTGATATAGTCCTAGTGGTGTTCGGAATGCGGAGTATGGTCTGGACTGAGGGTTGAGGGGTACCTGTCAGTATCCCTTACACAGGTCTAACGTGGTGATGTACTGGGCTCTTCCAATTTTCTCCAGCAGGTCATCTATTCTTGGCATGGGGTATGCATCGAATTTAGATTGGGCGTTGAGCTTGCGGAAGTCGATGCAGACACGCAGGGATCCGTCCTTCTTGGGTACGATCACCATCGGGCTGCTCCACTCGCTCGTTGAAGGTTCTATCACTCCTAGCTCCTTCATCATCTTGATTTCTTCCTTTAAGGGTTCCACCAGCCTCTCAGGCACCCGGTAAGGACGTTGGCGTGATGGTGTTGGATCGGAAAGGTGGATGCTATGTTGGGTTAGCTCAGTCCGTCCAGGCCTCTGACGGAACAAGGCTGGAAACTGGTTCAGGAGATGCTGCAGCTCTTTCCTCTTGGAGTCCTCTAGGTGTGTTAGGTTCACCACAGACGGCTGACTCTTTGCATCCTCTGATTCCTCTTCCACCTCCACCTTCCTCACCAGAAGAGATGTTTCTGGTCCCTTACCGGGTGGCTCCTTCCACTCTTTCAGCAGGTTCACGTGGTAGGTCTGCCTGGTCTTGCCCTTGTCCGGATGATGAACTTCATATGTGACGGGCCCCATCTTGCGGACGACGCTGTATGGTCCTTGCCATTTAGCCAGTAGCTTGCTCGTCGAAGTTGGCAACAGGAGTAATACCTTCTGCCCCGGCTGGAATTGTCGTAGCCTGGCGTGTTGGTCATACCATTTTTTTTGTGCTCGTTGTTTTTCCTGTAGGTTCTCTTTGGCTTGTTCTCTGTACTGTTCCAGGCGATCTCGCATCTCCAGAACATACTGTACGATGCCGCCTTTCTCCTCCATCTTGGATGCAGGTTCTTCCTCCCAGCCTTTGTTCAACAGGTCCAGGGGTCCTTGTACCTGCCATCCGTAGAGGAGCTCAAACGGTGAGAATCCCGTTGATGCTTGGGGTACCTCTCG